TCTGTTATGTACAAGACACTTTTTAGCTACTATATATTTCTAAAAATCACTTCTCTAGGAGTAACCAGTTTGCTGTTGAAGAATGTCAGGATTGGAAGACTTGTATCCACCATTAAACTAGATATTGTCCTGCATAATCAGTCTGCACCTCCCTTCAGATAGGGCAACCAAGCTTCAGAATTGTGGCACCCTCCATGGAGAATGCCCTTCTACCACATAGGACCCAGCATTGCATCCTTGGAAAGCACTTGCTTACCTTCACATATCCGATAATGTCATAGGGCATGTTGGCTTAGAAATGGCATTTAAAGGTTTGCTTTTTGGGAACTGGCCGTGCATCATACAAAACCGTTTGTAGAGTCAGGGCCATAATGCCACACACACACTTGCATGCATACTCCTGTCTTTGAAGCACTAGAGCTACATGCTGCTTATGACTCACTGCATTGAACACAGATGTAGTTTTGTCTTCTGTACTGTTGCTTCCTAGTGGGAGAGCTGGGTTAAAAGTGGTTAGTAGTTTTCAATAGATCCTCTTTGTTGAAAATTTGAAGAACTTGGACTAGATCCATTCGATATATTTAGAAAATGTTGACAAATCAGTTATTTGGCTGAATGGTGTATGCAGCTATAAAATATAGAATCACAGAAAATGAGGGTTGGAAGGGACCTCAGCGGGTCACATCTAGTCCAGCCTCCTGCTCGAGGCAGGACTGTCCCCAGCTAGATCATCCCAGCCAAGGCTGTGTATAACCTCCAAGGATGGAGATTCCACCACCTTTCTGAGTAACCTGTTCCAGTGCTTTACTACCCTCCTAGGAAGAGTTTTTCCTAATATCTAACCTAAACTTCCCTTGGTGCAACTTGAGACAATTGCTCCTCCTTCTGTTAAGGATTTCAGAATTGTTTTTACATTAAACTAATACGCCTTCTCTTGTTGTAGGTCTCTCAAAGGAATCCTCAACTAGGTAAATGGAATGTCTTATTTTCTATATTGTTTTCTCTAGGATATTTCTAGTTATAGGATCACTTGCTCTCTTCTGGGTTTTTTTAATCAAAACAGCCTGAATATTGCTAATGTACCATCCTGCTTTCATGTCACCATCCTCCACTGACCACTCCTCCAATATGCATTCATTAGAAATTGATAAGCCTTGTATCTAGACCTTAAGTGCTCAGTAAAACTCCTGAAGAATGGGAGCTGTATTATCATTATATAAAAGAATACATAGTATTTTCCAACCCCTCCTCAGTAGGGTGGCACATTGTAGGTGTTAAAAGGCCAGAATATCTGGCATCAGGAAGTTTGTGGCATGGATAATATTACTTGTATTCCAGTCAACAGAAAGTGAGGGCAGACTAGAACTGTTGTCTTCTCTGCATATCTTGTTCTTATCCTGAAGAGGCTTTGAATACTTGCAACTCTTGCTGAAGTCAACAGCAGTTATAAGTGCTCAATGCCTTGTGAAAGCCAGCAAAAAAACATGCACCACAGGCCTTGGCAGGAGTCCTCATCGCAGCAATGGGAATCCTTCCACTGACTCCAGTGACATTTGGACACAGCCATATTAGCGTAAAGGAAAAGAAATAGCAGAAATAGATGGCTGGGTAGTGATTTTCAGTCCAAGTAAAATGTATTGTTTGATGTGAACATGGGGATGTTTTCAGTATTGGTGTGAGACTAGGGATGCATGCATTATATTTTTTCACATTTGTGTCTTTCCCTTTTCTCTTTTCAGAACCTGCAGTTTCCAGGTTATTAGCAAAGATGAAAGGAAATCCTGGGACCATCTGAAGACCATTCAGAGGACTACACAGCCAGCGCTTCATTCAGTTTTTGCAGTTGGTTTGAGATGGGGACAGAGTTATTTTTAAAAACCAAATATCACACTTCAAATTTATTTTGTTTTCACTGAAACAGATAGGAGAAAAGAAGCCATGTGTATATATATGTAAACCATTGTTACTGTCTTTTGACCATATTGTTCCACATTAAGGCTGATATTTTTTTTAAAGTAGGTACTAAATTGAAATGTTTCTGGTTTGGGTACCTAATTTGCAACAACTTTTTGGGGGGCACAATTGATTTTAGAAGTGCAAGGGTGAACTCTCACTACAGCACTGATTCAGAAAAAAACTTAAGCACATACTTAAGGCCATTCTGTTCAGGATGGTACTGCTTAGACATACTTCCCTGAAGTAGGGATGATTTCCCTGTGTACTTCCAGTGGATTTCTCTGGGGTTGTGCACCATAAGCATCTCTGAATAGCAAGATGAATGTGTCATTTCACTCAAGGAAGCCTAAAGCAGCTTTGAAAAATCAGTGCCACCTATTGAAGATGTTAGTGGTAATGACCTAGTGGTAATTAATGAGTTCAACTTTTAAAGCAAATAGATTCCAGGTGCAAACCATACACTTGATCTACCTAGTGATTATTTTAGAGTTATCCGAGTAATACAGGTTGTATTACAGCAGCAGATATTCCCCACTCGGTCTCTTATTTGGAAGGACTATAATGCAGTTCAAAAGTTAATAGGCTTTTTTGCTGTTGTTGATACTGGGAAATTTGCATGATATAAGCTACAGTTTTGTTTTGTTTTTTTTTTTTGTGCTTTTTATTAAACTGAAAAGAGACGGTTTAAGAGAGCTGTCTCTTTTCACAATGAGACTAAAAATACATCCTATGTGTAATGAGTGTTCTCCCTAACAGAAGCCTTCAAATACATGATTCCTTTGTAATAATTGTCAAGGTTTTTTAAAAAAAATAAAATATAAACAACAAGGATTGTCAGCGTCCATGGTTTTTTATGGCTTGATGGCACTGTGACTTATTGCTGGGGGACAAAGTTCTAGTTGGCCAGGTAACTCCTATGGGTCAAACTAGTATTAATCATAGAGAGGCCAGAATAGCTGAGGAGGACTTCCTCTGTTGTTCTTTTTCCATGTGTGACTCCTCCAAATCCTGCACAGCTGTCAGTTGGCAGGTTGCTCAAGAGAAAGAAATGGAGATGTGGCTGCTGCTGATCCCATAAGAAGTGTTTCTGGCTATGGTTGGGCCCATGGATGTCCCCCCACACCCTTGCAGGCCAATATCACTGGGCTCTAAACATCAGAGCAAGGGGACAATCAGATTTGAAGCTCCCAGTTGCATCTATCTTGTAATCTTGTGTCTCTTTAAAGTCAAGCTGTTGAAAGGGAGAATGGCTTATCAGGTATTTCTGCTTCTTCCAGAGAGATCATCTTTCAGGGTTCACAGTCCACCAGCGTGAAACTGGCCTGCAATTCCCCAAGGGGTTTTGAAGGGCTGCAGTCCCACCTGTAGCAAGCGAGTCATTCCACCCCCACTGTGCAAAAGGTGCATCCTACAGACAAAATAAATGACAGCTCTTTACTTTTGCTAAATTTCCAGCAGAAGCCCCCAGTCTCACAGGGTGAGAGGATGGACTGGGGAGTAAGGATCCTCCAAAATACCTCACAGGGCATACATATCCACTCTAAGGATTTTGCATAAAGTGTGGTAGGAATAGCAGATTTGTGGGTGACATCAGCTGTTGAGCTTCCACACTGCTCCCAGGTGTCACCACTGAGCTTTAAGTCCTATCAAGTAAAGAGATTGGGTATTAAGAACTCAGAGGCTTCAGAAAACACTGGTATAAGCATTCCAGTACCTGTCAGCTTGCATCAAGGTGAAGGTTGTTCAGGCAGAGGCTAACATCAGGGATTTATGCTGCTGAGAGTTGTGAAGAGCATCCAATATAGGAGCTTTCTGTATGTGATCCTGAAAACCCCACAGAGACATCTCCAGGGGGAGATTTGTCTTCACACTCAGCTAATAACCTATGAAATATGTAAAATGAGTGTAACGAGAGAAGAAATTATGCCAAGAGACCTCCGGGTGCTTAATGAGCAGTATCTCAAGCTCTTTATATCTTGAAGACTTCAAAGCAGACATGTGGCTGACTTCTCTCCTGGAGTTTTTTCCTAAACATCTGGAGCTAAGCTCTTGTTCATCAGGATGCCAGGAGGGTTCCTTCAGTGAGTAATAGGCTCTGTATTCTCTCCTGGGTCAATTATCATCTCATGAAAGAAATGACTGTAAGGCAGAAATATGTGGGTATAAACATTTCACTTTAGAAGGGCAGGATAACAAAATCGATGTTGCCCTTGTTGAGGGGGGAAAAACTATTTATTTTTCTTCCAATAAAAGCAAAACTGAAATCCCTTCTTGCTGTATTGGAGACATGCTTATAATCTGATTCTGTGGGAAGTACTTAGCCCCTTCCCTTTTCCCCTTCTCACCTTTTCTATGTACAACATGGTTATTTTTTTAAATAATTTGATTCTATCAAAAAGAGAAGGTGATGTAGAAATCCATAGTTCTAGCCCTACACAGACAGAGGAAAGGTTAGTGGGGGCCTGGTTTGGAGACACTCTGAGCTTTGACTAATGGGAATCATGAATGATTCATGGGGGCAAAAAGAGAGCAGTTAAAGCACTCAGCCTGTACTTCATTCCCAGCTCCTTGGGTTACCATAAAATCCTTTGGAGCAGAGGCTGGACCTCACCTCTCCCCTTTTTTTCCCCAAGTGGGAGCCCTTGCTACAAAATTGTATACTTTCTTGCTCATTTGCTCTCTGGCTCAAAGAATATTTAAGCATTCAATACAAAGCACAACAGCTTTACAGGATGGAGAGGAGCAGCCTCATGACTAGGCTATTCTCCTTGGGGATGGGAGATGTGGATCTACATTCCCACAGACAGGAGACAGAATTGCACATTGCCCTGTCTTGGGCGATGTGCTTTCATTCCTATGGTATCTGGTAAAAGGTTCTGGAGTATGGGAGCAAAATCCCTTCACATTTTGTACAAGGCCTGATCTGCTTGGTCTGCTCTAGGTACACCAGCCAGAGCAAGCTGAGGACCCCTTTGCTATGAATCCTGAAAGCTCTCAGGTGCGTGTTAATCACCAAGCTGTTCAGGCCTATGAAGACTTTTTGATGGTTCTGGGTATGTTCAGAAACAGGCATTTAGGGAACTTTACTGGTGAAAACTTAGATGCCTAGTGAGTCTGAGCACCTCCAGGACTGGGTGGCAGTTGGGTAGTGGTTGTGAAGAACCAGACTTTAGACTCTTGAGCCCAAACTCTACATTGGCATTTAGGGGTCTGAGTCCTTCAACAGCTAAAGCCCTGGGTTGTTAGGAAAATCCCCACATTTGTTTTTATCCTTTTACTCTGTTTTCTTTGTCCTTTCATCCCTGATGCCCTTCAAAGTATTTTTTATCTTCTTTCCTCGTCTTTCTCCCCTTTCCTTCCTGCCATTCCATTTGTTCTCTCTTGCTTTTACTCTCCTTCATTCTTTCAGACTATTTGATCCTCTTTCCCTATTCCCTCTTTCTTCTCTGTTGCTCAATCATGAAGCACCCCTAGCTCACTCCTTGCTCACCCCATGATTCCTTCTTCTACCAAGGCCAAAGTTGTCCTGAACACTGGCACTGTGGTGGTCAGTGCTTGCAGGATAGGTAGAGGAACACTCCTTCCTTTGTGTTTCTCTTGTAGTCACAGGTTGAGAAGATCTGAAAGGCTGCTTAAGGATGGGCGTTCATCCCAGAAAGTAGGATGAACTTTTGGAAATGCCACTGAAGCTGCTGTCCTTATATGATGGCATTGTGTGTCTTTGGCAATTCTGGAGGTGAGCATTACCTTTCTTTTCATACTTTGGCAGTTAGCAAGAGCTTGCACAGATTGGATGTCTTGGAGACAGCACCATGTTGGCTGACCTGAGTCACACAGATGTTCAGTTGAGGGGAACTGCACTACTGAACATTTATTCTTAGAAGGGGGTATTTCCTCATAAAATTTTGCAATTGGTCCATTTGCTAACCTCCCCCTGCTTCCCACACTGTCACAGCTAAGCTAGGGAGTGGGGAGGGTGGGAGTGCCACGGAAGAAGGCTGGTATGAGGTGGGTAAAAGGGAAGTTGGCTTTGTGGGTGTATTGCTTAGGACTTGGAGAACCCTGTGAGAATGCTTTGGGGAAGGAAATGGGAGAGCTGAGATTGTGAGAATGGAGAACCCAAGCTTTGGTTTCTATAGAGACATCACTATGCAACATAACTAAACATGGAAGTGAAAGGAAGATGCTCGGAGGTAACGAACCACTGCAGGGACACAAAGCATACTGCTTCTAAGGAAGTACAAGT